CCGCCAACGGCGGGGACAGGGCGGCGGCGGTACGGTGCCCCTGGCGGAACAAAAAGGCTCGCGAGGGGCGGGCGTTACTGCGGGGGTTTTGGCGCCGTTTGTTTCGGTCTCTTGTGGCTGGGGCTGCTTCACGGAGCTCCGCTTTGCCTCCCCGGGGCCTGGGGTAGGGAGAGGGAGGCCAGGTCTTCCACAAGCCCTTCGAGGTACCTCAGGGCCTTCACTCCTAGCCCCTTGCAGAAATCCCTCTGGCAAATAACCCTGATTTAAATAAGTTTTTTTTTTTTTTGGTGTAAGTTCTGTTTCTTTAGCTCGGTTTTCTGTCGTGTCCCCAGACTGAAGCCTGCGGAGTGAGATGAGTAGGGACCTCAGGGGTAGGGGATGCGCCCAGGGGAGAGGCTTTCGGGGTTGGCGAGGAGGATGGCGAGGTGGATGGCAAGGCAGAGGACAGAAGGGACAGTGGAAGAGAATGCCCGAACCTGGTGAGTCAGCTCCTGTGTTTTTACCTGATTTCTGAAGCCACGATGCTTCTATTTTGAACTCATTTTGTGCTAAGCAATTACAGCTGTTTGCTTGCAGGTGGTCAAAAAAGTCACTGAGACTAAAACTTGTGAAGTTTTAGTATCCACGTTATTCTAGTGTGTGTGTCCCTTTTTTTTTTTCAGTAAGATCTCGACTCGTTCAGTCAACGTTGGACCAGTTTATTCCCTATAAGGGTTGGAAACTTTATTTCTCTGAAGGTATTTTCAGACTAAAATTATATGTAACAAGTATTTTATTCCATTTTTTTCTGGAATTGGTTATAAGTAGAGGGGATAAGTTAAACAGAAAGCAACTGAAATTAATATTTGTTATATAAAAACATAAATACAATAGAGATTTCGGTCTTGTGGCATACTGTAATTTCTGTGGGCTCCAAACCTTAGGAAGGAATCTTGAATAGTATAAAACACGATCTTACTTTATCTGTTACATAAAACCTGCAGTCTATCACAGACTGGAATATACATATCTTTGCTGTACTCTTCTTGATCCTATGTGCTTGTCCTGTGTCATCATGGATAAAGTTCTGTTTTATAATATGCCTTATAACAAAACATTACTGTGATACTGTAGAGATCTATAATCTTCCTTAGTTTTGGAATGCATAAAAATAATGGAAGAGAAATTGCCTGTTTACTTGTGAACTGGAAATAATTATTTGTCAGTTTCTAACATGATATGTTTCTAATTAGCTTATGCTGACAAGTCTCCTTTTGTCCAGAAGACTCAAGCCTTTGAGAAGTTTTTCATGCAACACATTGAGTTTTATGATAAGGTAAAACCAAACCAAAACATATCTCACCCCAACAACTTATTGTTGATACAATAACATTACAAATTTTGTGTATTTTTTCCATCAAAAATAATCTCCATCATAGATATGAAATGTTTGTCATGATTTGTATGTCTTGTGTTTATAATCTGAAGTGTATTTTATAACAAAATGTTTCACAGGATGAAATTGAAAGAAAAGGAAGTATTCTTGTAGATTATAAGGAACTAATACAAGACAGAGAACTGACTAAATCCATACCAAATATATCTACTGAATTAAGAGATATGCCTCAGAAAATACTGCACTGTATGGGTCTAGCGATTCATCAGGTAAATATGACATTCTAATACATAGAAGCATAACCCTCACAGCAAAAAATAATCAGTGGGATTTAGAGGCAAATATGTTTTAAAACCCAAATCTATGTTTTTCTGTTTTACAGGAAGTTACTGTTTATTTAAAACTCAAACTCCTATCTTTGTCATTTCTGTATGGCCCACAAAATCACATTTTAAAATGCTTTGGTCTTGGTGCATTTTGCCTATTCGTTGTCAAAGCAGCTGACTGAAACTAAGTGAAATTCAAATGTGTATGTTACTCCCTATTGGGAGTTCTAATTCCTGGAGGTTTTGTCCCACCTCATGCAGCAGAACCACAGCTGGTGGGTGAATGGTGAGCAGATTCAAGAATTCCTGTCTCTGTACAATGTCTCTCTTAAAGTAGTATTTTGCTGCTTGTTGACAGACAAGTTCTCAGATATTTGGGCTTTATCAAACAAAACGCATGTTGACCACAGCATTAAAGATTATTGTATACTTTGTTTTTTAGATTAAAACAAACAGAGCAAATATGTTGATTTTAATTTCCATTTAAAATGAAGCCTAAAACTTCTCAAGGGCAGAAAAACACTGTTAAGTGGAGGGTCACTGAACAGCAGAGACCTCTTTAGATTTCAGTAGGGGGATCTGATTGTAAGGGATGGTCACCAGACTTAGCAAATAGAATCCATGTTGCGTGGCACGCTGCATTTGTGTCTGCCTTTTTGTTCTGCCTAGGTGCTGACAAAGGACCTTGAAAGGCATGCTGTAGAGCTGCAGGTGCAGGAAGGATTACCACTTGATGGAGAACCTATAATAAATGTGCCTCTCATTCATGCTAGGTAATGGGTGTTGAGTATTTGTTTTTTTTTTTTCCAGGAAGATCTATCCGTTTGTTTCTTCACCACGACAAAGGCTAAATTGTCCTTGTGAAGAAAAAAGTGAAATGAAACCTGCTTATAGGCTGGGCAGCCAGCTTTTAACTAGACAAGTGTCTAAGTAGAGAAGTAACTTGTAAATAGTTCTGGTTTTAAGACGTTTCATAGAATAGCTGTTCCATTTACAATTCTGGTGTTTATTGGAGAAGTTAGCAAGTGATTATTATCGTCTAGCTTTTTGTTAGCCAAAGGCTTGTCTTTGCAAGAAGGCTGATTTGGAGGGTGTAGACATAACTACAGCTGGTAATATTATTCCTTGTATGGATGTTTTGACAGTGGTGTATGAGGATGTGTTATTTTGTATTAGCTTAAATCTATTGAATTATTACTGTTAGTCTCAAGAGTGTTTATTTTAATCAAACTTTAATTTGAAATTAAGAAGATGAGGTTACACTAATTCTGAATAAGCATGTACTTACAAGAATCATAATGACTTATTTTCAAAATATGATTTCCTTTGAGCTTCAATGAAACAAGCCCTTAGTACCATTACTTCTGATAAAGAAAAAAAATTGTATCTCAGACTTCAGCATTCTGAGGGGGTATGTGGGTATAAACCCTATTTGAGTTTAAATTCTTTTTTTTGATTCTCTGCTGGTAATAGCTTGGTATGGGAAAGCAGCATGTTTTGGCATGGCAGGTGGATTTAGTTGGGAGGTTTGTAGCACTATGATGTATTTTTAAGCTTTGCATTGTTATAAAAATGCACCTTTTGATTACACAGTAGAATGTGTTTAGAAAAAACATGTGGCCAAAAAGTTATTTACGAGCTCTCAAATTCTAAGTTACAGACCACTATCCTGTAGAGGAAGGTATTCAGTAGGTCAGTAAAATATCATGCTCCTAACATTGTTCTGCTGCATAGGCAGGGTTGAACCATGAGGTGGTGGTGTTCAGCGTCCTAGGCAGAAGGAGCAGGGAAAATCCTGGGTTTCAGGATCCAGATGCTTCTCATTAGTGCCCAGTTACGGGACAAGGGAGAGTGGGTACAAATTAAAAAACTTAAAATTCCATGTGAACACAATACACTGTTTTACTGTGAGAAAGATTGTGTACTCTCTGTCCATGAACATACTCAAAACTCAGCTAGACATGTATCTGGGCACATGTACGTGCTCTAGCTGGCCCTGCTTGAGCAGGGAGGGGTTGGACTAGACAGTGCAATGAGGTGAGAAACGATTCTGTTTAAAGTTTGTTATTCGGAATTATTTGGCTAGGTATTATTTGTTGTCCTTAACAAGGTGCAGTGTGTTGCACCTGATGACAGGTTTTTGTCCTTGAAATACAAAAACTTACCTTTCCTATTGGAACATAGGTATGTTAAGTCATAGAATCATAGAAGAATCATTGAAGTTGAAAAAGACCCTTTGGATCATGGAGTCCAACCATCAGCCCTACTCTACAAAGTTCTCCACTATACCATATCCCCCAACATCTCATCTAAATGACCCTTAAACACATCCAGGGATGGTGACTCCACCATCTCCCTGGGCAGCCTATTCCACTGTCTGTCTACTCTTTTCTGTGAACGTTTTTTTCCTAATGTCCAAATCTTTGATCCTTTTGTGTTGCAGGTCTAAACTATATATAGTAATTTCTGTTGTATTGCTAGTCTCTGTTTACAGGAGGGAGGTGTCACTATATAAACAAACTATACAGCTGTTGATGTGTACATGCTTGAGGAATATTAAGTGTTATACTGCTTTCTAGAACAGGAATCAAAGAATATGCCATGGATCCACAGACATGTATTTCTAACCATTGTTCTGGATTACTGTTAATAATTAGTGTATAAACCTTTTTGTAGTTGCTGAGTGTGGGATTTTTTTTTGGTGTTTTTTTTTGTATTGCATTTAAGTATGATAAGATTTCAAAATGCTAATGCTTACCTTTTTTTGTAGGGTGTACAACTATGAGCCGCTAACTCAGCTGAAAAATGTGCGGGCAAACTGCTATGGAAAATATATTGCCTTGCGTGGTACTGTTGTGCGTGTCAGTAACATTAAGCCTCTGTGCACTAAGCTAGCTTTTGTATGTGGCACATGTGGAGATGTTCAGAGTGTTCCTCTACCTGATGGAAAGTATACTCTTCCAACTAAGGCAAGTTAAAATCATTTAACTTCATACTTTTCCCTTATCTGTAGTGATTTGTCAAAAACTAGCACTACTGGTATTAAAAGTAATTTTTAAATTCTAATCTTAAAGGTAGGTTAATCAAGTGACACATCAGAAACAATTAAAGTTACCATGTAACTGTATTAGCACATACCTTTGTTATCTGAAAAAAAATTGTATCCTGCTGAAACAAAAGCACTATGTAGAAAATCCTTCAAATCTAGAAAAAAACCCAACCCAAACTCACTTCATTTCCATTTCAACA